AATGGAAGAGAAATACAGCAAAGGGATAAAGATTGACACCCTATTTAAACTTGGATAGATGTTGTGACAAGATGAGCTGCTGTCAAACATAAGCAAGGAATAAGGAGAAATCTGGAGAACCAAAATTGCACGAGAGCATATGAAGATTGTGTAGGAGTACCCGGAGGATCCAACGAGGTACTATAATGAGACAACAGGTGCAAGGAGAAGAAGAGTTCCCAGATGAAGCTCAGAGCAGAGACTATGAAAAAGTTGTACAACAAAAAGTCTCTTGTGCTCTTGATAAAGGCAATAAGCGAGGACCTTTCAATGCATGCAAGGATGAAGGATGAGCTGTTGCAGATGCACCTAATTGAGGGGGTGCAAACGCCTGTGATAAAAGGCGACCGCCTATGATGAAAGGCGAAGACACCAAAGGGAGTTGGTGCGGGTAGAGCTGTTAAGCAGAAAAGGCATAGAAGCTCCAAACATAGAAATTGAGGTGGAGGATTGCGAGGAGTATACCGCAACTTTCTCTTTCTATGTAATTAGTGGCAAAGAATTTATGGAGCCACTTTGAAGCATCTTAGCTAAAGGAGGATGCAAGTGCTTATAAAAGGCGAAGACACCTTAAAGAGAAGGTGTGAGGGCTATGAGATGAGCCCATGATCAGACCGTCGCATGACGACGAGCGGAGACACCTCAGGAGAAGGTGTGAGGGCCGTGGAAGGAGCCCAGTTCAGAACGCCCCAGAGCCAATGTGATGGCTAGGTATGAGTGGAGAGATGGATAGCCAATAAAAGGGCTATGATGAGTATGGAGACAAATGCAGGATTGACTTTCATGGATATTGCTCCCATGCTAAAGATCAATGAGCTAGAAGACATTTGCCTTGGACAATAAGTGGATGACTTGTGGAGCATTAAGACGTGGCTACTATGAAGGAGCAGAGGGCATGCGCAGGTTCCGGGAACAAGTTGACTCCTTGTCAAGGTGGTGAGCTCGGTAATGGCATTGTAATACTCAGAGTATGAAGACAGATATGGATCAACCTTTTATGGGCTGTCCCCATGGTTAAAGGTGGAAAGCTACCTGGACTCTTGAGACTAAAAGCGAGAGACTCATGGAGAAGTAAGGCGTGGTTCCTAGGGTGGAACAGAGGGCATGCGCAACTCCTGGATGAGTAGACTCTTGGAAGAGTGGTGAGCTTGTGATCATATTGAGATACTTAGATAATGACTGTCGCACTTGAAATATCCGTTTGAGGGGGTGTTGTAAGCCTTGATGTGAGGCTTGAGGAATCATTCCGGACTGAGCGTGGTTGATACGCTCGAAGGGGAATGTTGTTCCAGAGACAAGCGTTAACACTATTCAGATGTGATGTGGCAGACCATCTGGTTATAGTGATCCTTTTATGTAAGAAAAGGTGTGCTTAGGTCACTCTGATGATTGAAAGGTTTGGCAAGTACCTGTAAACTTGGCTACAAAAGCTCTCAAAATGGAAAGCTTGGAAGAGCTGCAAGATGCAAGCTTGTGTTGAAGAAGAATGAGGACAGTAGCCCCACATGAATGGCAAAAGGGGTGATTGTTAGGTTGGTTGCCATTAATGTGCAACAACCATTTGCTATTGCACCAACCATGTGCACTCATCCAAGATGTCAAAGGTTGGCAGCCACCATTGTTGAAGAAGAGTTGGAGTTGGCAACCACCTTTGTTGAAGAAAAGCCTCCATGAATGCCTATAAATAGAGGCATATGCAAGAGAGCAAAATGAGTGAAGAGAATTATGAAAATGTGAAGAGAGTAGAGAGGAAGAGAGAGCTGCAATGGCAGCAGCTGCAAGTGCAGCAAAGAGAGTTGAGAGTTGAGAGTTGAGTATGAGAGGGTGTAATCCTCCTCCTCCATGTATTTGTTTTGTATTCTTTCTCTATCTCTAAATATATTGACTTCTCCCGTGGATGTAGGCGGTTTTGCCGAACCACATTAAATATTGTGTCAGTGTGCTTGGCTCTCCTATGAGCAAGTATCAGAACATCACCGGTCGAAATTCCCAACATACTCAACATCTCCAGTTTTTGAATGAGTCACCTCACCTTCAAGATTAATCATTTGAGCATCAATTAAAGGAGATAAAATAGTCGAAGCTTGATCATGAAGGTAACCCACTTCCATAGAAGTAGAATTGAAAATCTTTATGGCATACTTATCATGAGGGCATTGTGGATAACGTACAAGTGTAACCAATTCATGGTCACTGAATACTATAGCAGGGTGGCTTCTGAGGCCCACAATATGGGTTATAAAAGAACAAACATTGCTGGTTTCATACCGGATTTGTTGTGAAGAAGAATATTTCTAATCTTCAAACAAAGAAGAATCTGGACAGGCATCAAGATTCATGTAAAGGCCCAGTGCGTCTTCTTGTCCTTCCTTTAATTCTGCATCCATTGGAGAAAATGAAAGAAAGATTCACTCTTTTCCTTTTCCTTTCTTCAGTCTGTGAACAGAGGGAGAGAGAAATCCAGAGAGAGTTTTTGTGTGTAAAGAATGTGAGGGGAGGAGGGAGAGCCGTTATATTGATAGAATAGAAGCACAAAAGCGCGGGTTGGGAGAGAGTTAGTTAAAGACAGTTGGGATGTGTAATGGGCTGGGCCTTTTTCATCAGGGCCTGGGCTATCCCTTGTCTTTTTTTTTTATTCATTATATTTTCTTGTGCACTAAAAATTATATATTTATAAGAAAAAAGAGGGGAATAAAAATATAATTTGAAGGTTCAAAAAATGTTCAATTTTTTTTTGAAATTGATCTTTTTACATTTTTTTATTTGGAATTTGACTTAATAATTTTTTTTTGTTACTTAAATATGAGTATCTTGTAATATCAAAGGAAAATTTGAATGTGTGATTAATGCATGGTTTGAAAAAATAAAATAAAATTTTATTTATATATAAAAAATTAAGCCTATATGAAATAAAATTGAAATAAATATGGTGACTTGAAGTTAATAAACATGGAAGCTTAGTTAACACGTGCATCACACATGCATCAACGTATTTCGCAGTTGCCATGTTTTAGCTGCGAGTTCATATTCCTTCCACGAATGAACATTGAATCCCTTAGTGGCATTGGATGCAAGTGTAACCAAAGCTTTCATGCAAGTTGATGTTTGTCGGTGGAGAAGCTAGCAATAATGATACTTTGTTGGCAATTTTTCCTTCTCTTCTTTCTCTCATCTCTTTTCACTTTCTTCTCATTAGGATTGACAATGTTCTAGTCAAAACCAAAAGATATCATATCATTTTTTTTTGTTTAAGTTTGGTTTTAATTTTTTTTATTGCTATCTGATTTTTATTTCGGGTAATTTTTTAAAATATATATTTTTTAATTTTTTTCTTTAATATTAAGTTGGTTAAGAATTGAGTTTCATGATTTAATCTGATAGGAGGATCCTAATCTCATGACTCGGGTCACGAGTTTAAAAAGATAACTCGAGTTGACATATATCTTTTTTGTTAGATCTTTTTTTATATTGATTTTTTTAAATTTTATTTTTTAATATTGAGTTTGTTAAAAATTAGACTTTGTGATTTTCTTCACTTTTCTTTCTTTGAGTTTTTCCTGATTTCATGACCTAGATCGTGATTTTGACGAGTTAGTTTAGGTAAAACCAAGTATTGTTTTGATTTTTTTTTTTAATTTTATCTTTTTACTTCTGGTTAATTTGAGAATTAAACTTTATAATATTTCTCATTTTACCTTATATTATATTATTATGTTTGCATGATCTAGCTCACAAGGTTTGGCAAACTTACCAAGTTTTATTGGTGTTTTATTTTTTTAGGTCCTTTTTGGTAATTGATTTTGGTTCACAAGATTTGAGAAACTTAACGAGTTTGTTGGTGTTTTATTGTTATTAAAGTACTTTTATAATTGATTTACTATTCAATTCTTATCCTTCCATGCATGGATTGTTAGGAATTGAGCATCATAATATTTTTTATTAGTTTTCTATGAGGGTTGTGTCGGCCTCACAATCTGGATTGCAGTTTTAACATATAAATAACTCGGGTTAAATTGAATTTTTTTTTAATCAATTCCCCTTTAATTTTGTCCTTTAGTATTGGGTCATCTATTTTAGCAAGTGGTTTTTTTATATATATAGATTATCATAACCACCTATTCATTTTAATTTGGTTCTTTTATTATCATTGATTTTTTTCTTATCATAATTTAAATGAAACTAGCTTGTTGGACCTAATCAGGTCTATAACTTGAAACATTATTTTTTTAATTATTTTTTATCTTTTTATTTGATGTTTTTATATTAGATTAATTTAAAATTATTTTTTATTATTTGTTTTGGTTGGCTTGGTATTGGCTGGTTGCAATGTTGAGAAAGAAATCAGATTCTTGGTTGATTTTATTTTTTTTTCAAAATTAAATGTAATTTTATTGTCCTAGGACAATTAAAGTTATGCATAATCGAATTTGAATAATATAAAATGTTCAACTCCTATATGTTTTTATTCCCAAATAATTATTCAATCCATAATCATAAAAACATAAAACATTCTTTTTTGGAATAATTAGGTTTAATATCACTACTAAAAAAATAAAAAATATTAATAAAATATTTTGTTAGTGTTTAGACGGTATTTTAATTGCTGACAAATCTGCCAATATAAACACCTCGTCGGCCGGAAAATATGTCATCGGAGATTTTCTTTCCATCAACATTCCATTAGAATTTGATCACAACGAACTGTGCACAAATTGCAAGGAACAAACTAACTCCAACTAATTAATTTGACACATTCAGATTTGTTCCAGTAGGTGATCTTACGTTGCATCTAGTTCGGGTAGGAGATGATATCCATTCAAGCTAGACTGAAGCCTGCATTTAGATTGTAGAAATATTCTTAGTTAATAAAGTCATGATCCAAGCCAATTTCTTACATAGGATATTTCGAATTGTTCAGGCCATGGATATTCGGCACTTTAAGTTGTATATACCTTGTTTGATCAGGTCCAGAAGGATAAGAGGCTACAGAGATCATCTATGCTAACCTCACGTCGTTCCTTCTGTCCTTGCCTTCTGAAAACTTCACTTTCCAGTTTCTTCCTTTCTTGCATCTCCAATATCCTTTCTTCAATGCTATTTTGAGCAATTAATCTAACAATTCTTACATTCTCCTTCTGTCCAAATCGGTGAACACAGTTTATTGCCCGTTCCTCATCAGCTGAGTTCCACCATGGCTCCAACAGGTAGACTTCGGAAGCAGCTGTGAGGTTTATGCCGAATACTGAAGTCTTGAGACTGGCAAGCAGAACCGTGCCTGGTCTTGCAGATCCAAATTCCTTGATTATTTCGGCTGGTCCCCTTTCATCCGTTGATGCATCCAACTGCAACGTATTGAAGCCAGCATCTTTCAGCGGCTCTTCCAGCAATACCAACATCTTATCGAACAATGAAAAAACAACTGATTTACTGCTGCTTGAGTTCACAACACTAGATTCTTTCAAGAGTTCTATGAGAGCTGAGACCTTGGAAGGAGTTGTTCTTGATGTTTTTTTAGTGTTTTCAGGATTGGAAGATTCTCGAGGGGATGAGAACAGGCCAGACTTAGAAATAGGATCACCACAAGTTGGGCAGCCTTTCTCCAATTCTTTACGTGGGAGGTAGTACCAAATGCATCGTTTGCAAAAAATATGCAAACATTTCGTGATTACAGCATCAGTTGGTGGACAACCGCAAATTGCACATAAAAAATCTTCACCATCTTGAAGCATATCTATCATCTTTCCAAGCAATTCTGGATGTTTGGATGCATCTGCTTGGAATCAAGTTTTCAAAAGGTAAGCGCTCTATGATCATACGTACAGTATGAAAGAAATTAAGCAAGAACTTCCATAATTTGAAATAACTGCAGAAGGTTTTCTGTGTAAAACTCTTGGGCGATATAACTGTATAAAAACTATCTTCCACATGATATCACAAGACTTTCACGTAAAACCAAAATGAAGAAAAATATGAACAAGAAGAAGCCTGCAATACCTCGAATATTGTCAGAAGGGAGCAATGATATGAGATCCAAAGAACACAGGGCCGAATCATCACATAACCTGCGAAGTCGTAAAACTAAAAAATGCACAAATGAATAGCGGCTGCGTAGTCTATCAGCAAAAATAAAGTAATCGACAAAATCCTTGGAACTTGATTTCATCCGATCATACAGTTCACGTTCTTCTCCAGAAAGTTGTAAGGAAACTGTCTCTACAGTCTTAGATGGCAATCCAATTAAAAGCTTGTCTTTTAGTCGCCGCAGAGAAATGGTTGCCATTAAAACCTGAGATCGTTTTAAAGAAAATCATAAAAAGTAAAAGAATTCAGATGAGTGGCACTACAAGAGATCCTGGATACTTTAATCCTAATATTGCGGAATGCATTTGTCTATTCCATTGTCAATACCTTAGAGTGGACACACAAACTTTCAGAGTGTCAGGAACTGAATATAATCAGCAGCATGATATTACCTGCAGTAGGTTCTCATCCCCATCAGCAAGTGGTCTCTGCAACAGGCCTTGCCAGTAGCGTTTTATAGAGAGTGGATCTAACTGGAGAAAGGCCATCAGGGAAAATAAATCAAACAGTCCATTCTGGATCTGTGTTCCTGTAACAGCCCACCTCTTCCTAGCGGTAAATTTAGTGACTGCCCGACTTTGCCTGGCATTTGCATTCTTAATCACATGAGCCTCGTCCAAAATGACTCGCCACCACTCGATCTTCCTCAAAGGGCACCGCATGCGTCGAAAGCACTCAGCAGTCAAGGTTCTATATGTGGTCAACACTATATCATATTTCTTAAGCTCCTCAACATCCTTCGTCCTGCTGTTTCCATAATACTTGTATAGCTTGAGGGATCCTTTATGAGTGTGCTCCTGTAGTTGGCTTTCCCATGTTGAACACACAACAGAAGGGCACACAACTAATGTTTGCTTAGTAACCAAAGCACTAGAATACTCATCAGCCATGCCCAAAGAACTTCCTTTCGTATTGTTACCCAAAAGGGTATGTGTTTTTTGTCCTCCAGTGCCCTTTCCCCTCACTAGGCCACCCCTCTTCTTCCCACTAGAAACAGACATGACCATATCCCTCTTACCTGTTGCTTCAGGAAGGGTGCCGACCTTATCAAAAGAAATCAAAGAAAGAAAAGTGAGAGTCTTTCCCAATCCATGATCATCAGCAAAAATCCCACCATGCAGAGGCTCTGGTCTCCTATCCGTTTGATGCATTGTCAAAAGATTCAGATACAACCCATCTTTCACCTCCCAAAAAGGGGGCAACTCATCAGACTTCTCTTTACTCACCAACCACCACAGCCCCTCCTTTTGATGATCAAGAAGTTTAGCTTTAATCACATTCTTTGGTGGCTCCAAAGCCCCCAATTTCTCTATCATATTCTTTTCTTGAACCCCCATGCCCTCGTATGCCCTGAAACTTGGACCAGGTTGATCACAAAAACACAAACTATTCTGCAAAATCCAATTTTGAACGTTCTGTGTATCATCTGACTTCGAAAAGATTTTAACTAGACAAGGCATAGAACTATCATATCGATTTCTTGAATTAGTCACCTCACCTTCAAGATTAATTTTTTGAAGATCGACTAAAGGAGATAAAACCTTAGCAACTGGAATATGAAGGTAACCCACTTCCACAGAACTAGAATTAAAAACCTTAATAGCTGACTTATCATAAGGGCTCTGTGGATAACGTACCAATTCAAGCAATTCGTGGTCATTGAATTCTATAGCTCCGAGGCCGACAATTTTGGTGGTAATAGAACAAACAAATATGGTATCATGCAAGCTTTGTTGTGAAGAAGAATATCGCCGATCTTCAAAAGTAAACGAATCTTTCCAAGCATCAAGAATCATGTTCAGGCTTTCATTTTTCTGTTCACCTTCTCGAATTTCTTCTTGTGAAGTATTCTGACTATCATCAGAAGTAAATGAAACTGGCTCCTTTTGACCTTCTTCCATTAGAGAAAATGTAAGAAAGACTCAGTCTTTTCTTGTTTAAAGATTCAGTCTTTTCTTGTTTCTTCTTTAGTCTGTGAATACAGAGAGAGAGATGGAGAGATCTTGTTGGTTTTTAGAGAATGTGAGGGAGGTGGAGCCCTTATATTTGATTGAATGGTAGGGCAAAAGTGCGGGAGAGAACGTACTTCTTAGTTTGCTCCCTTCTCTCTTTTTTTTTAGGCTCACTGTTAGGTTTATTTGAAATTATATTTATGATAATTTAAAGTATTTTTTATTTAAAAATATATTAAAATATTTTTTTAATTTTTTAATTTTTTTTAACATTAACACATCAAAATAATCTAAATACATATATTTTTTTAATTTAAATAAAAAAATCAAAATTTTAAAAAAATAAATCACATTCTTAATAATTATTTTAATAATTATTGATAAGAGATAGAATGTGTAATGGACTGGGTTTATTTGGGTCGGGTTTTGGGCTCACTCATTTTATACGGGGTTGGAGTTAGTTGAGAGAACATCCTTTTTAGTTTGCTTCCTTCTACTCTTTTTTTTTTTGTTGTAATATTCATGATATCTTTATCGACAATTATATTATAAAAAAACTAAGTCTATTCAATGTGTAAAGCACGATATCTCACATGACTGAATTAATATTTTTTTTTAAAAAAATTAATTTGATTTTCAATTTTTTTTTGCACAATAAATCATTTTAAACCAAAATTTATACCAAATTACCTTTTTCTAATTAAAAGACAAGCTAAATTTAAAGGCAAAAAATCAAAAAATAAAATAAAATAAAATAAAAAATAGATAATAACATCAAACTTCATTTGAAAACTTCATTTTAGTCCCCTTTTATTTTCAATTAATAGATAATCGATCGATTTAGTTGTTGTAAATTCAATTTTAATACAAAATTTTATTTTTTTTATTTTCCGGTCTTTGATTTGTTTAAGAAGAGAGAGAAAATTGTTTGATTCTAGTGTAACAAAAAGTTATCCTTAACACCTATTTTAATCATCAAAATAGTTGAAGTCGGTGTTGAGATATTCCACTTAACAAATAAGATTTTATAATGGTTTCTTTGAAACTCAATATTTTCTAAAGAAAGACAGATATACATCGAGAATGAAAAATTTTATTTGGTATGATTTTTTTAACTTGGATTGTGTTTTTAAATTTATCAGGTTGAAAATTTAGTTTATAAATATTTTAAGAGAGTTTGTATAATGTTTTTAGGTTAAACAGGGTTAAAAATAAGTTTTTTGGATAAAAAATCCACAAGCTCAATTTTCCAAGCAATACAATTTTGGCTAGAATTTAAGTTGTTAAATAACATGTCATCTATCATAGTTAATCTACTAAAAAAATTTATTTGCCCTTCAAATTTAAAATAAAATAAAAAGTCTAAGCATGGCTTTAAAAGCTCTATATATCTGGGCTATTTCTTTTAAAAACCTAGGGTGTTGGGCTATATATTTGTATGTCTAAACTTTTTTTATTTTTATTTTTAAATATGTATCCGGTTTAAATAAATCTAAATTACTAATTCAATGGATTAAGCCAATTTGGGTTATTATTATTATTTTTTAGTGAATGTTTTGCCCCTCAATTAAGGAAAAAAAAAATAATCTCACCCTTTATTATTGGTGATATGTATTTTTATTTAAATTTAAATTAAAAAATATAATTTTATCATTGTTATTAATGTTCTTTCTTTTTTATTTTAGTTTCACATGCCTATCATGATTTTTTTATTAAAAAAATATTTCATACAACACAGTTTTCATCAGTTTAATTGTCTTATAAATCTATTAAATAAAAAATAATATTTGGGATCAACAATTTATTGTCATATACCTACAGAAATAATGCCAGCAAACATTACCAACTTTAGATATGGATTCGAATCACTTTCATCTAAAGTCTAAATCATGGCACAACCTAGGAAATTGCTTCTGTAGATGTAAATATTCAAGTCCAAGGGTTTTCTACTTATTTTATTTTAAATTGTTGAATTAACTTATATAAAATAAATTTACATTAGCAGTTACTATGAAGATTTAAAAAGAAAACCTCAACCTCCCAGTTCAAAATCTGCCTAGATAAAAACAAATCATGTTTCGTTAAAAAAAAAGAGGAATAAATTAATTATAAAAAATGCAGATTAGATTAAAGAAATATATTTTTTCTACTTATTTTATTTTAAATTCTTGAATTAACTTTTATAAAGATAAATTTACACAATGAATTGGTATCTGGATTTTATTTGTTTAATTGTTATCGAAATTCTAATACCAATAATTAACTGATAAAATTACTGTTTCAATTAACCCTGTTTGATCCTGGACTAGATATTTTCTAAAATATAATGTTTCAGAAGATCTTGGCTTAGTCCACCACCTGTAACACATGCTGAACCAGCAAGTTCAGAAATTGCCTGTGAGCATTTATCTTGGCTTAGTCCACCACCTGTACATCATGAAATTTTGCCCAAAGGGGCTCATCATAGCAAGATTCACATAAGAGTAGCATGTCCTCTCGCATAAGGATTGGAAACGAATTTTTCTTCTTCTTTTTTAGTGCTAACTGATAGAGAATTCAAATTAAGATGCAGGAAAAAACAGATGGATTGCTATATGTTCATTACAAACTGCAGATGGGATTGCTACATGTCCTTGGAAGAATCATGAAACAAAGATCAAGGCATGCTCACCAGAAGAAGAGGCGACAAAGATCATCTATGCTAGCCTCGTGTTGTTCATGTGGCCGTTTCCTTCCAAAAGCTTCATTCGCTGATTTCTTCCTTTCCTGCATCTCCAATATCCTTTCTTCAATGCTATTTTTAGCAATCAATCTAACAATTCTTACATTCTCCTTCTGTCCGTATTGATGAACACGGTTTATTGCCTGTTCCTCAGCCGCTGAATTCCACCATGGCTCCAACAAGTAGACTTTGGAAGCAGCTGTGAGGTTTATGCCGGTTCCTGAAGTCTTGAGACTCGCAAGCAGAACCGTGTCTGCTCCTGCTGATCCAAATTCCTTGATTATTTCAGCTTGCCTTATTTCATCTGTTGATGCATCCAACCGCAATGTATTGAAGCCAGCATCTTTCAGTGCCTCTTCCATTAGTGCCAACATCTTATCAAACAGTGAAAAAACTACTGATTTACTGACCGAGTTTACAACCCTAGATTCCTTCAAGAGTTTTATGAGAGCTGAGACTTTGGAAGGGGTTGTTCTTGACAATTTTTCAGGGTTTTCAGGATTGGAAGATTCTGGAGGGGCTGAGAACAGGTCAGGTAGAGAAAGAGGACGCCGACAATTTGGGCAGGTTTGTCTGGTTTCTTTGTGTTGCAGGTGCTGGCAAATGCATTTTTTGCAAAATATATGCTCACAGATTGTGATTGTAGCATCAGTTGGTGGATCAAGGCAAACCGTACAGACAATATCTTCACCATCTTGAAGCCCATCGATCATCTTTCGAAGCAATTCCGGATGTTTGGATGCATCTGCTTGGAAACAAGGTCAAATGGTAAGCACGCTATAATCATACTGTCAGGGAAAAAATGTAGCAAGAACTTCCACAATTTGAAATAACTGCAGAAGTTTTGTGTTTAAGAGTACTCTTTGGTGCTCTAAGCAATTGAAATTGCAAAAACCAAATTGAACAAAAATATGAACAGGCAGGACTCTCCAATACCTCCAATATTGTCAGAAGGGAGCAATGATCTGAGATCCATAGAGCACAAGGCCGAATCATTACATAACTGGCGAAGCTGTATAACTGAAAAAAGCACACATACGTAGTGGCTGTGTAGAATATCAGCGGTAATAAAACATCCAATAACATCCTTGGAATCTGCTTCCATCTGATCATACAGTTCACGTTCTTCTCCAGAAAGTTCAAAGGAAACTGTCTCTACAGTTTTAGATGGCAATCCAACTAAAACCTTGTCTTTTATTCTCCTCAAAGAAATGGTTGTCATTAATTCCTGAAATTTTTTAAAGAAAATCACAAAAAAACATTCAGTGGAGGGGGACAAGAGATCTGCATACTGTAATCCTAAATATTACAGATTGCACCTGTCAATTCGATTTTCAATACCTTAGGTGGACATAACATTTCACAGTAGAGAAATTCATTATAATCAGTAGCATGGGATTACCTGCAGCCGGGAGAACCCTTTCTCATCTCCATTACCAAGTGGTTTCTGAAACAGTCGTTGCCAGTAGCATTCTGTGGAGAGTGGTTCTAACCGGAAAAAGACCATCAGGGAAAATAAGTCGAAAGATCCATTCTGGATGGGTGCTCCTGTAACAGCCCACCTCCTCCTAGCGGTCAATTTACTAAAATCCCGAATCTGCTTTGCATTTGCATTCTTAATCACGTGAGCCTCATCCAAAATGACTCGCCACCACTCGATATTCATCAAAGGGCACCGTGTGGGTTCACAGCCTTCAGCAACCAAGGTACTATATGTGGTCAACACTATATCATATTTCTTAAGCTCCTCAACATCCTTCGTCCTACTGTCCCCATAATACTTGTATAGCTTGAGTGATCCTTTTTGAGTGTGCTCCTGCAGTTGGTTTTCCCATGTCGAACACACAGCTGAAGGGCACACAACTAGTGTTTGCTTAGCAACCAAAGCGATAGAAGACTCATCAGCCATGCGCAAAGAATTTTCTTTTATATTTCTATCCAAAAAGTCACGCATGTTTTGTTCTCCAGTACCCTTTTCACTCACCATGCCTCCCCCCTTCCTCTTCTTCCCACTAGAAACATACAATACCCTGTCCTCCTCTCCTGTTCCTTCAGTAACATTGCCAACCTTATCAAAAGCAATCAAAGAAAGCAAAGTCAGAGTCTTACCTGATCCATAATCATCAGAAAAAATCCCACCATGCAATGGCTCTGGTCTCCTATCCGTTTGATGCCTTGTCAAAACATTCAGATACGACCCATCTTTCACCTCCCAAAAAGGGGGCAACTCATCAGACTTCTCTTTATTTACCAACCACCATAGGCCCTCCTTTTGATGATCAAGAAGTTTAGCTTTAATCACATTCTCTGGTGGTTCCAAACTCCCCAGTTTCTCTATCCTACCCTTTTCTTGACCCCCCATACCCTCATATGACCTGAGACTTGTACCAGGTTGATCACATAAACGCAACCCGTGTTGTAAAATCCAATCTTTAGCATTCTGTACAACCGCTGACTCCGCAAAAATTGTAACTACACAGGGAATAGACGTATCATATTTAAATCTTGAACAAATCACCTCACCTTCAAGATTAATTTTTAGAATATCAATTAAAGGAGATAACACCATAGCAACAGAAGTACAAAGGTAGCCCACTTCTCTAGAACTAGAATTTAAAACCTTTATAGCATTCTTATCAGAAGGGCATTGTTGATAACGTACAAATTCAAGCAATTCATGCTCATTGAATTTTGCACCACTGTGGCCTACAATAGTGGTGGTAAAAGAACCAACAAGGGTGGTTTCAGTCAGGACTGGTTGTGAACCAAAAGATAGCCAATCTTGAAAAGTAGATGGATCTCTCCAGGCATCAAGACTCATGGCAAGTAGTCTTGGTATTGGATCTTCTAGACCTTCTAGAGATTCTTCTTGTGAAGAAACCTGACCATCATCAGAAGTAGATGAAAGTACCGGGCTTTGGTGACCTTGTTGAACTTCTTCTTCTTCCATTAGAGAAAATGAAAGAAAGATCCTGCCTTTTCTTGTTTCTTTCTTCAGTCAGTGACCGCAAATGAGAGAGAGATAGGTTTTTTTGTTTTGTTTTTGTGTGTTTTGAGAATTGAAGGTAGCTGGTAGAGCCGTTATATTTGGTTGAAAAGCGCGGGATTGGAAGCGAGTTAGTTAGTGACGGTTAATAAAGTATAGTATAGTGCAGGATTTGATAATAGATACGATAGAAATCTGTTGTTGTTGTTTATTTTTTTAAATTATTATTATTATTATTATTATTATACATCAAGTCTTTTTCTTCTTCGCATTATACGTAGAGCTCAAGCCCTATTAAAAAAAGTTAGACTCTTAAAGAAAAATCAGTCAATTCCCTATGAGATATAATGGTTTTACCATCATTAAACTTTACTTCAAGACAAAATGCATATAAAAGAAAAAATCATGGGTAGGAAGCAAAAACTCTTGGAATTATTATTTTATACATTGAAAGAATTCATTATAGAAAATGGAAAAAATAACTTTAAAATTAATTATATTATAAGTGAGGCATTTTCCTTTCGCATTTTACCCAGATTTTTGTTGGCAATAGCAGTATCATCGATACCCGCCTGGTATCTTTTTTATTAGCTAAAGCTTGCTTTAACCTCGTTTTGCTTTTGGCATTGAAAGCTCTCTACTTCCTCGTTTTCTTTGAAAACAAATATAGAGACCAGCGAGGATTGCGAAAGGTGACCCAGTTTCACCATTTTTTTTTAACATAGTACGTGGTAGAGGGCCTGTGTATCTACATCTGGTTATTTCAGAGGAATTGAATATGATAATGGTGAGTTTCTTAGTCATTTTCAGTATACAGATGATGCACTGGTTTTTGTACCTAATAATTATAACTTATTAACTGATGCAAAGAGGATTTTGAGATGGTTTCGGCTAGCCCTAGGATTACGAGTGAACTTTCACAAGAGTCCATTGATAGGAATTAATTATTTGGATGATGATTTTATAGATGGTAAGACAGGTTCAATCTACTGTAGACGGTACTCCCTTCCTATCAAGTATTTAGGTTTTTCATTGGGAGCTAACCCTGAAAGGATATACGGTACTCCCTTCCTATCAAGTATTTAGGTTAGGGACGGTTATGAAGGCCTGGTGATCAAAGCATGGGAGGACAATATAACCAAGAAGTATCGATCTAGTTATGAGAGTGGCCTCCCTGCTTTTACTCCTTCCTTTATCCAACACATGGTAAGGGATTTCTTGTCACGATCTAAATGTTAGGTACATGATTGATCGGCAATGCAGAATGTTAAGTTTCAAAATAAATATATAAAAGGATAAAATTATTTAAAAATACACATTAATATTTTATAATTTTTTAAAATATTATATTATTCAAAACTAATAAAACTAAATAATAGTTCAAAACTTCTTGTCGGTAATTAAAAAAAAAAAAATAATCTATAATAATTATTATATTGTCAAAATCTAAATTTAATTAAAATATGATAATAGTGAAGTTTCTAAAGAATTAAATCAAAACTAAAAAGAAAGCATCGCAAAACAAGCAAGACATACCGATAAAAACTGAAAAAGTAGAAACACTCAACAAAATTTACTTGCTAACAAAAACTAAAAACTCAAAATAATATTAAAAATAAGAGGTAGGTTCATCCAACTCAGTGAGAGAAGAACATTTAATATACATTTTAGATATTAATAGTTTGCAAGTCGATTTATCTTGATATATATATACATACTAAACATATTATCATAAAACAATGGAATACATGTCAAAAATCAGATGACACCCAAAGGTAATTAGATGATACCCGAAGGCATAATTTTAAAACTCGACTCGGTCCAAGGCCTGGGTTCTAGGTTTTGACTGGATAACCGGGTTTTAATCTGGTCACTGAGTCGCCCAGGTCAATTCCTTTTTTTTTTTTAAATCAAAACAATGTCATTTTAGTAAAAAAAAAATCAACAAGTTGCAATCGAGTTTTTGACTTGGTTTTGCTTGGTCAACCCGCCAAGTCAGCTGGGTCATACTAGGTTTTTGCTTTCCCTATTTTTTTCAACCCGACTTGATTCCAACCCCAAGTTGACCCATTGGACTGGACCGAGTTTTAAAACTATGCCTGAAGGTGACTAATGTGGGAGGATCAGTCGCCATTGTCAAGTGCCTCTCTCACAAATAGATATACAGAATACTATGTGTACATAGACTAACTACTCTCCGTTAGCATGAAGTTACTAACAAGTCTTATATCAAGGCATAACAAATATTAACATAATTATTAAAATAATGTATATCATATCGTCTTTAAATTGGTTCAATAGAATGCGAGTGCGAATTCAAGAATAGATAGGCACTCAAAAAATAAAGCAAAAAATATAAATATTTAAGAAATTAACTAGTCGTACTTATTATATAATCAATATCCATATTGATTTATATTACATGCATATTAAAGATTATCTCACTCATCTAGAAAAAAAAATATAATAGTAAAAGGAATTTTACATAAAAGATACTAAAAATCCTATTAAGGATCATTAGAAGTACCTTCAATGAATATACAAAATATATTAAGTCTAGGGATTGAAATGATAATTTTTAGAAATCAGGAATCAAAACATAATTTTACTAGAATTGGATGACCAAACTATAAATATCAGAATTACATAACCATACTAAAATTTCACCCATGATCCATCTTCAATTATTTCTAGAATCTCAATTTACATTCTAGGGATCAAATTGTAATTTTTTCAAAGTTCAGGGACTCAACTGTAAATCCCTAAAATGGAGGGATTAAACTGAAAATTATACAAATCAATTATCAAACTAAGATTCAAAATCCTTAACCTCAAAAGAATACTGCCCAGAATTCTAAAATACATTTTAGGGGTCAAATTAGAATTTTTCAAAGTTTAGGGACTAAAATGTAATTTTTATAAATCACGGATCAAAATAAAATTTCATCACCTTCAACCTTAACATCATTCTGTCCAGATTTCCCAGCAAAGTTTAAAAATTTTTCTTAATCCATAACAAATCAATTAACAAATTTTCTAATAACATACCCAAAATCAATCACTTAACTTATAATAATCATGAATCAATCTTAACAATATAAACTTTAAATTTTTATAGATCCTAATCTCTTCTTTATTTCTTCTATAAAAAAATTATAATTGAAAGTAATATGAAAGGGAATTACTCGCTACTTTCACTTTTCTTAAACCTAAAAACTTGATATCAAAAACTGAAATTCTTGATTTGATGTAAGGAGGGTTATAATAGCCATAAGAATTAGAAGAGAGAAAAGTAATTCTTCTATAATTTTTCTTTATATACTTAGATTAACTTAGGTTAGGTTTGAGTTGACTTGAACTTAAGTTTTGATCAAAAGTTTAGATTTTACATTACCCTATCATCTTGAACCAATTTCATCAGCTCTAAAAAAAAGTAGTCATTTCATAATGGGTAATTAGAAAAATATTTGTTTTTGGACTAATCATTGGTTAGTAAATGGAACCTTAAAGCATCAATTCTCTTGATTATATGCTCGTGCATCAAAGCCATCAGCTAGGATTGAAGAAATGAGATCTTAGAATTATAATCCTCGGTCGTGAAATAATACATATGTCACGACCCGAATCTCGGGTCCATGACCGGCAACGCAGGAGTAGTGTCGAAAGGACACCCCACCTACACTAAGCCTCAAAACAGACATATCAAAAGAACAAGATATTCCAAAATACGCAGCATTTCATAATCTTGAGAAATATTATATTACTCAAAGCTGATGAAATCAAAGGATAGTCAAAACTCTTCATCAGTAATTAAAACAAAATAATAATTCATAATACTCATTACATTGTCAAAATCCAAACTTAATTAAAACAGAGTAA